ACGCGATCGAAGCGGTATGTCACGCACCGCCATAACTCTGAACTTCAAACGGCGCTGGTTTCCAAACCAAGCACGCTATTAAGCTGAAAAGTTGTAGACTGATAAATTTAGATCCCGTTATGCCTTATGAGGATAAAAATTTTCGTGGCTCTTTAGTTTTGGATTTTGGAATTTGATGACGTCAGGTGAAAACAATCTATAGTGTGACCGTCTCTGTCACCACAATTATTTTCTATTCCCCTGACTGAGCCAGCGATATCTAGCGCAAACAAATCATGAACCGGTAGGTACGTAATGTATGGGGTCATATACCAATGGAGACTGGATACGAGATAAAACTAAATATGGCGGACGAAGCAAAGGTCAAACATCTCGAGAGGAAAATTGCCGTCGCAAGAAAAGAACTTAATAAACTAAGGAGTGATATGAATTCCATGAAGAAAATGTTTGTTCACAAGTGCAAACAAGTTAAAGAAATGGTCGAGACAGGTAAGGTTCCTCAGAATTTTTCACAAACACTTCAGTTTCACGCACCCGATCGACATGATCGAACTTGAATTCGATTAAGTTAAGTTCGATGGGGCCGTTCGATGGTTGAAGGTGAAATACATTCATTTAAAAATGGGAGTTATATAGGAACAATGTCCGTGATTTCTGAATGTTTCGTTCCTTTTGGGTATCTTATGAGTAATGCAATGTAATTACGTTAGCGAGAATATGTAGAAGACTCTGTTATCCAAGCCTAAATTGTTTCCCAGTTGTCAGACGTCTTCGTGTTGATCTCCGTCTTCGTGGGGATCTCCAGGGGTCCGGGGTATCCTCCCCCAGAAAATTTTTGAAATTTTAATGCTCAAGGATGTCATATAGTCTGGTTGAGTGCAACCTGGGGGATCTAACGTGTCAAAATTGTATTTCATTTTCACAACTATATTTACCATCGTTTTCAAAGAGATTCATTTTTATTTCAGTATGGCCAATCGATGAAAATCGATCATCAGAAGGCAATCGATATAATCAATATAATCGATTTTAATTAATCAGTTATTATCGATCGCCTCGACAGAGCTTGACATTGCAACCACTGGAGTCGCCAATACGACTAGATTTTTTTCATTGCCTTTTCACACTTGGTTGCCAGGCTGGCCCCTAAGATATCTTAATTCTTTGTATTTTTTCTTATCATTTTTATACCCATCAAATGAGTGGAATGATTGTTGAATACCAAACTATACTTCTTGTTTTCACACATGTACTGTAGCCCATGAAACGGTGTTCTTCTTGTGCAATGATTTTTTAAGATGCGAAGTGAAATCGACATCTCTCATTGACAATATTCTGTATCTGTACCTAAGATTTTGGTGAAAACTATAGTTTGTATTGTTGGAAAGCTAAGCATTTGTATAGATTTTGGTTATCGAAGAATAAAGCCTAAACAACATTTACATGTGTAAACAAGCTGAAGGAAAATTGACTATGCAAGTTTGTTTATCCATATCACATGTGTCGTGTTTACTCGTCTGGTTACTTGACAAAGCATGCAGTAAAATGTTACAGCTTCATTTTTTCTGTAACACCATTTTCATTGGCAAATGTAATTCCCGATAATATGAAAGAAAAAAACTGTCCATAATTTATGATGAATCATGTTCAATGATAAAATTGAAAACAAGTTGTAATACATTTCAGGCAAAATATTATTTACATGCAGATATTGGATTTTGCTATTCCAAATGACTCGACCACATTCATAATTGTTAAACAGTTAACAGTTGACTCCCTCAGTGCAACGAAACCATGTATAAAATAATTGTTTGGAAATTAATATCTGACAAAAGTACAACTGAGAACCAAAGTGAATTGGTACTGATTACCCCCATCAGATGGTGCATTATAGTATTAAGGACGGTGCCTAATGGCAGTGAGGCTGGAGTTGGCCTTGTTTTGACACAGACCTCACTGTTTTTGTTGTGTAAATCAAGTTGTTCTAATGCTTACTATGTGCATTTACATGACAACAGCAGAGAGGTCTGTATCAAAGCAAGGTCACCTCCAGCTTTGCTGCCATTCAAAGGCCAGTTCCCCAAGCAGACAACTGTAAAATGGTTTATTGGGCCACAGGCCAAATATATAAATGCATTTACCACAAAAAAAAAAATTTGGATTTGATATTTATACACATCTAAGTATCTAAATAATTTACCCTAAGTTTCAAACAATGCACAGTCAAGTTACAATGAAGGAGCCAAAAATAGAAAATTTCAAGTGGTCCTCCATAACGCTAAAATTCAGCCTATTTTTGACACCTTGACCTTTGTATTAAAGATGCTCTTTTGTACTTAAAATGTTTGTCCCTGGACACCTTTTATGATGAAAGTCAGAAAGTTCAAATGAAACAAGTCTATCACAGATTTTTCAGCCCATAATGTAGACAAACCTACTGATCTAAGGACGAAGAAACATAGAACAAAGTCTTTTTTTATGGAGCTTATTTGCTACATTTGTTCTGTTTCCTCCCCTCCTACATGTAGACTGAAACAACAAATTGATAAAAACAAACAAAACAAAAACAAAACAAAAACAAAAAAACAAAAAACAAAAAAACACACGCACAGTTATCACTGAGCGTATCTTGTTTCTGCGGTTGCACAGGTCGATAAATAAGTAAATAAATAAATAAATAAAAATGTTTAACACCTATTTCTATTTCATAACTAATTTATTTATGAGATTCACACCAAGCTGAAGCATGTGTTAGATGACACCAGAAAAGTCATGAAAGATTGCTGTATTATTCTACTGGAAAAAAAAAAACAACAACAGCAACAACTTGCCATCCTTCCTTTGCTCTTAAGAAAAGTAGGAAGTTACAAAATGTATTCCTGAACCAGATAACTGAGTAACATTCTTTTTTGTCTCCATACACTAACTACAGTATTCTTTCCTCAGGAAAACAGGAAAGCATCCCACAGGATAGTAACAAGGAACTCATCTCTGGCAACAATCCCCAACAGCAAAATACTCAGATATCATTTTATCCTGAAATGATGCCAATTGGGTTTGTTCAGTCTTGCTTCAAAGAAAAGAATGGAATTCCTAGACAGCCCAGTGTTTGCCCAGCGGCTAAGGCTAAGCTTTGTGTTTCAGTCAGAGGATTTACCAACCCTGGACACTGCTTAGATGGATTGGAGAATTTTTCTCATGTTTGGTAAGGTTGAAACAAATCTACCATTTACTTGTTAATTTATGCTTCTGATTACCTTTAGAGTGGTTTTCAATTTAGTGTCAAAAGTAATCAGGCAATTACTTTGGTTTTGATTTTACTCTTACTACGTTCTGAGATTGGCTGAGTAGTCTAAATGGTGAGTAATTGGTTTGGGTTTGGTTTTATGACACTCAGTTGAAAACCACTCTAATCAATCAATCAATCAATCAATCAGTTGATCGATTGATTGATCAATCAATCAGTCAGTCAGTCAATCAGCCAATCAATTAATCATTTGATTAATCTATCAATCAACCGATCAATCAATTACTGCCTGTTTATATTGAAAATTTTATTTTCAATTTTCTCATGTGTCTGTTGGTTGAAACAAATCTGCCATTTACGAGTACAATACATTCTTTGTACATTGTACTCTTTAGTTCGATGGTGGTGTGATGGTGCTGTAAGTTAATCACATGTAGAAGGAGCTGAAGAAGGTGGCTTATAAGCATATATGACAATGTATGGAGATGTACATGATATAGATATTTTTTGTTAGCAGGAAGATGGGGTGCTTGTAACTAGAATTGTACAGTGTTGTTGTTTGCGTTGTGTAGTTATTAATCATAAACCAAGCTGGGCCTTTGTTATTATAACAAAGGCCCAGTTTGGTTTATTATAACAAAGGCCTGGCTCAGTTTTTTTTTTAACAGTTTGTTTAACTGGAGTTCAGCGTCGGACTGATGGGCCCCTTGGCTCGTATGTAGACTCCACAGTATTTTTAAAAATGGACCCTTCAGTAACTACATGTATATTTGTCTTAATGAAGTGTACTACTCAGTGTCTTGTAAATTTCCTAACACTGCCTTCCTCTCTGATAGGATTGTGTTTCTGTTTCACAAGAACACCAACAAGGCTGTCAAAGCTAAAGTTAAGCCTCCCCGTTTAGACGGTACTAAGGTTGGGGTGTTTGCCTCCCGCAGTCCTCACAGACCCAACCCTATTGGCCTTACATTGGCAAAGCTTGATGGCATTGTTGGTGACACACTGTTACTGTCCGCTATCGATCTCTTAGACGGCACACCTGTGCTTGATATCAAACCATATGTTCCAGACTATGATAAACCCCCAAACTTAGTTGAAGATAAATTGGAGCTGGAAAGCAGTGGTAAAACATTGTCGCAAAACAGCGATATTTCTCGAAGTCAGGAAACTGCACCAGTCTCGCCAGGTTCACAGCTGATTGATCAAAGCTGCACGGTACCAATGCAGCAAATTCTGGATTTGCAATCTGAACCAACTACATGCGCTCTAAGTATTGCAGAATGGATAAGAAAGCCTCCTATCAATGAGTTGGATGTCAAATTTTCTGATGCGGCTATAGAACAAATCGGTTGTTTCCATGGGAAAAGGCACCCCCTTCTAAAAGAATTGCACAGGAAAAGTGTTGATTTGTCAGTTCATAGACGTACTTGTCTACAGAAGCTTAAGCTTGGGTCAGAGACCTTCGCTGGTGAGGAGCCTGGATCGTGTGAGCTAGGGAACAATCAAATCGTAGGGAACCCTTGGATAAAGCCTTGTGATGCTGGTACATGTAGACCTGTCAATACAGTTGCCGACTCTTATGGCTCTTGTTCAAAAACGTCTTTAAATGAGAAAACAAATGAATCAATTGACGATGCGAATGGTTCGCAAGACGAGCTCTCACTCAAAGGAAAAAGTGCTATTGTGAGCGAAGAAGTTGGCGGAGACTTGAAAGAAAGCATTCCCCAACCTGTAACTGACAGTGAACTTCTGCCGCCGTCCGATGTGTGTATTTATCAACTAGAAATGCTTTCATCCCCAGAGGAGGCGAAGCAAGCTATTACCGATATTCTAAGGGCAGACCCTAGATCGGTTTACAGACGAAACTGTTGTCAAGATAAATTGTATTCCTTTAGCATAGACACGATGAATGTGACTTGCAATTTTGAAGAATCGACGGTTGAAGTTTTACGAGTAGAGCCCGTGTTTTACAGGAAGCTGAAATGAAACACACGATTGACCAGGTTGAATTATGATTCCACCGACAAAATTCAATGTTAATTTTATGTTTGAAACTTGCACTAACAATCAGAATTATGTCGGTGAAAGGTTTCAAATTTCCTACTTCCTTCAAATTTTCGGGTAAATGTTGGGAAAAAAGAAAAGTTGCAATCGAATTATATGTCGATATATGCTGCCTTGAGTCACATCAAGTCCCTCCTAACTGGTATGGTGACTGAAATACAATAATTATTAACTCGTATACATAAAGACTAAAGCGTATTACAGTTCAAAATATGAACCGTTGTATGTTGTGCACTTTTGCAAAGGTAAAGTAGTTAAATATAACTCATGTAATGTTCGTTTTCTGATTATTCTCTCCGGCATACTTAAGATATTGACCGCGACACGCATTAGCAGCAGGTAATGTAAGTTCTGTCACGTGACAGCGACGTAATTAGAACATCAGATGGAAATCGCACACCTGCCCTTGATTAAATAATTCAAAAACTCATCTCTAACCCAGCTTACAACTTACATATGTACATATCAAATGTTCTGCCGGCTGCGATAAGCACAGGTCGATATCTTTGCATTGACCATTCCCTAAAATTCTCTGTCGTTATAACACTAACTGCCACACGGACATTGTAACCGTTGAAGAGATTGTCGTAAAGGTGGTTGCAACGAAAAAATTGCTTTCACAATGAATCATCGAATATCGCCTCAAGATGATTTGATTCTTCAAACAAGCCTTTCTGTGGCGGATGATGCATATTCACTTGGTAGCACGTTCACTCTGCAAGACCGAGTGGAAGCAATTGAACAGTCTAGCGAAGAATTTTACCAAATCGTAAGTAAAAGATCGGCGCTGTACGAAGGGAAAAATGTTCCCACGCAACAGAAGAGAACAGGGTGTCGGTCGCATTTTTCTTGCTCAAACGTTCATAAGATTTTTTGATTGATAACCACCCACAGTAATTAATATAAATTGATGAAAAATGATGTCCTCTGTTATCATGAACCCACGAAGAAATTGATTTTCATAGACGTTTTTTTGGTTCAAAATCTAACATAAGGGATCGAAACGTCTTCTGCAGGCAAGCCTATTTTAGCCGGCGATGTCTATTAAATTGTAAATTTCCTTACTGGCAATGAATTGGCCTCAACACAAACACAATAGTTCCTGATTTGTTTTTTAAGCACCCTTCGAGGCTTTAATTTAATGTAATCAGGCTCTACAAATTATTTTTGTTCAGGTGCTAAAAGGTCGCATACGAAAAACAACTTTAATAATTCGATAGCACTCATACCTGCTAAAATACTCTTTAAATTTAAGCGGTTGAAGGAGAGCTCCATCTTTTTAAGTAATGGCGTTTAGTCGATGGCCACGTGTGGACGTTATAGAATGGAAAAAATATATTGAAATGATTTTGTAATCTAATTCCCTAGTTTCCAAACAAAACAGGAGCTACGGTAAAAAACATATCTTTGTTACACGAGGCTCGACGTGAAGGACTTCCCTTTGAAAATCCGTTATTTTACAAAAGCAATGTATATGGAAATTTTTCCACTTATTTGTATGTCATATGATATTACAGGAATATAAATCGTTTTACGAGTATCGCCTTTGTTCTCCTAAGTAGAAGCTAGCAATACGCACTGTATGCAAACAAGACTGTCAGATGTCTTTTATTCAAGTGTGCCAACCCTTTTATAATTAAAAGATCGCATCGTTGCAAGTGTCAACAAATCTTTAGATACTGGTACCTAATTACCACGGAGTGGCTTCACTGGGGTTTGGCTTTCACTGGAGCCTTGATATATCGACGTCCGAGAGAATGAAATCAGAAATCGCCATGAGGTTTTCGCTAGAAAGTAAATTGAACAATTTATTGCTAAATTTATAGTGGAACTGCACGATTCTTAGCTTGCAGAAATGAAAAAAAAGTTAACTAATAAATAGGATTTAGGAATGGTGCATCCACGGAGTGGCTCTTAATCCACTTCAAGATCGTACTGGAATAGCCCTTTTCATGGTTAGTTTTTCTCATTTGTAATCCATGTGGATGCGAGACAACTTCGGGCTGAAACTACAGAATAGCCCGAAATTGCTTCATGCTAGATTATTCTGTAATGCAAATGAGAAAAGATAGCTGTGAAAAGGGCTATTAAGAGGTGTTGGGTTTTGAAGACTTTTGCCTGTTGTCTACGCTATCTTTTTTGGATGTTTTTTTCCCTGCTGGCAAAAAGCAGAATTCTCATGGTTATACTCCATAGGTCAAGTACGAAATGAGAGAAAAAGGAATTGAAAGAGAGCAAGCGATGGATTCGGTTCGTCTCCAGAGATTGATCGATGTGTGTGATACTAAAGAAAATACTGCACTGTATCTACTACAAGAATGGAATTACGAGCCACAGGTAGATAAAAAAGGCAAATGCTTGACGTTGCAAAGTTTCGTCTTCCTCCATCCTGTACTACAAACCTCCACCTTTGTATCTCCTCCTCCAGCCCACTCCCTTTCTTTGCACTTTTTTCGGGTAGTGCCTTTTTCCTTGCGTTCCTTGGACGGTGTATGGTTACGGGCTTTTTACGGAACGGAGAGGAAAACTGACAACTGCTTAACACAAATGAATTGTGGGGCCTCTTAGCCGGAGCTTGTGATTTGTCGCTCACTGTATATGCGTATTGATAAGTGTTTTTTGTTTTTTTTTAATTTTCCCACCCTTAAAAGTTGCTCTTATCAGTCTCCGCCAGGGATATGTTAAAACCCTCGCCAAATGTAGACAAAACTATACCAGGGTGTTTTCCGAACCCGCAAAAAATATGACCGAACCAATGAAAATTAATGCAATTAATTAATTAATCTTTGTAGGCTGCTTACATAAGGTTCACAGATCAGATTACTATTTAATTTAGGTTTGCAGATTCCTTAACCTCCTGAGCGATTCAGGGGTAAATTTAAGTGTTGTGCAAGACCTTTCACACAACACTCCATTACACATAGCTGCGACCAAGAACTACGTCTCGCTGNGAGAGCAAGCGATGGATTCGGTTCGTCTCCAGAGATTGATCGATGTGTGTGATACTAAAGAAAATACTGCTCTGTATCTACTACAAGAATGGAATTACGAGCCACAGGTAGATAAAAACTGAAGGCAAATGCTTGACGTTTCAAAGTTTCGTCTTCCTCCATCCTGTACTACAAACCTCTACATTTTTATCTCCCCCTCCAGCCCACTCTCTTTCTCTGCACTTTTTTCGGGTAGTGCCTTTTTCCTTGCGTTCCTTGGACGGTGTATGGTTAAGGGCTTTTTACGGAGCGGAGAGTAAAACTGACAACAGCTTAACACAAATGAATATTGGGGCCTCTTAGCCGGAGCTTATGATTTGTCGCTCGCTGTATATGCGTATTGATAAGTGTTTTTTTTTTTTTTAATTTACCCACCCTTAAATGTTTTTCTTATCAGTCTCCGCCAGGGATATGTTAAAACCCTCACCAAATATAGGCAAAACTATACCAGGGTGTTTTCCGAACCCGCCAAAAATATGACCGAACCAATGAACATTAGTGCAATTAAGTAATTAATTAATTAATTAATCTTTGTAGGCTGCTTACATAAGGTTTACAGATCAGATTACTATTTGATTTAGGTTTGCAGATTCCTTAACCTCCTGAGCGATTCAGGGGTTAATTTAACTGTTGTGCAAGATCTTTCACACAACACTCCATTACACATAGCTGCGACGAAGAACTACGTCTCGCTAGCAAAGTTTTTGATTGACAGTTATCCCAAGATGCTTCTAGCTACAAACGATCAGAGCGAACTTCCGGTTGAAACTGCAATAAGACACGGGCAAGATGACGTGGCTACTTTCGTTATAAGGAGAATGGATCACAGAAGGCTAGTACATTACTTGGTATCATAACGCTTTTTAATCAAAAGGAAGAACCTCCTTTTGGCTTCAAAATATGCGACGATATTTGTCCTCAGGCATTATCTGTTTCCGAGAAGCCAATTTTGACCTTCGAGGAACAGTATAACAAATATTCAAGCCAAATGGAGGTTGCTGCGTTTAATATGAAATAGGCTTACAAAAGTTCACTGTTTTTGGAAGACATCTTTTCCAAGCAGTTAAACGTCAATTGAATTATGCTGGCTTCCGAAACTTGGAAGCCAACAGAATTAATTGTAAAAAGATATTGCTAATCTGTTATATTTAGCATTATTTAATTCAAAACCTTGGATAATGCACTTCAGCTTCTGTCTTTCTGTTTGGTTCACTCAATCTCGTTACCATGCAGCCATTTTCCCCGTGTTTAACGGCATACATATAGAGAATGTGTGTGGCAAGTGTCTCTTTATAGCTTAAAATTTTTCGTCGGTTTAATAAGGAAAGTTCTGTCGGAAAAATGACTAAAAGCTGCACATTTGGTACAGGTAACTCAGATACCTAGAGTTTAGGGTAGGACCATTATATTCTGAGGAGGGGGGAGGGGGTGATTGGGCAATTTTCTGGGGCATGAATTTTTTTTTCTCACCCTTAGGTTGTGCAAAAATGTTTTTAAGTCAAACACAGGACATGGATAGTAGAAAGCACTTACTCGATTTTTTTCCCATGGCTCTCATTGGGTCTTGCACCTCGCTGGAGGAATTTAAAAACGCAACAATCACCGGTCATCAGGGAAATCACATGATTATCGTGACGCCGTCCTTTTTAAAATTTCTCCGGTTTGAAGAGCGTTTTAGAAAAGCTCCGTTTTCGTGGTGGATTAATGTGGACGGTAGGCCTTAGCGTAGAACAAAAACTGCGTTTTCAAATTTTGCGGTGTAGCGTGGACGCTGCCTGAATGAAGCAGAAAAGCAGCAAAAAGTTCACTGGAAGATTAAAAAACTAATAAATTATTGTTTCAGTTCACTTAGTTGAAACAGATTTTAGTATAAAAATAAGCTTATCCTTCCAGCTAAGTTTGTTACCTTACATTTAGTTCTTGTCCTTTTATACTTCCGTGAACTTCAGTGAACTCGATCGTTTCTGAGCAGCGCAATCTGTTGTNATTTACATGTGTAAACAAGCTGAAGGAAAATTGACTATGCAAGTTTGTTTATCCATATCACATGTGTCGTGTTTACTCGTCTGGTTACTTGACAAAGCATGCAGTAAAATGTTACAGCTTCATTTTTTCTGTAACACCATTTTCATTGGCAAATGTAATTCCCGATAATATGAAAGAAAAAAACTGTCCATAATTTATGATGAATCATGTTCAATGATAAAATTGAAAACAAGTTGTAATACATTTCAGGCAAAATATTATTTACATGCAGATATTGGATTTTGCTATTCCAAATGACTCGACCACATTCATAATTGTTAAACAGTTAACAGTTGACTCCCTCAGTGCAACGAAACCATGTATAAAATAATTGTTTGGAAATTAATATCTGACAAAAGTACAACTGAGAACCAAAGTGAATTGGTACTGATTACCCCCATCAGATGGTGCATTATAGTATTAAGGACGGTGCCTAATGGCAGTGAGGCTGGAGGTGGCCTTGTTTTGACACAGACCTCACTGTTTTTGTTGTGTAAATCAAGTTGTTCTAATGCTTACTATGTGCATTTACATGACAACAGCAGAGAGGTCTGTATCAAAGCAAGGTCACCTCCAGCTTTGCTGCCATTCAAAGGCCAGTTCCCCAAGCAGACAACTGTAAAATGGTTTATTGGGCCACAGGCCAAATATATAAATGCATTTACCACAAAAAAAAAAATTTGGATTTGATATTTATACACATCTAAGTATCTAAATAATTTACCCTAAGTTTCAAACAATGCACAGTCAAGTTACAATGAAGGAGCCAAAAATAGAAAATTTCAAGTGGTCCTCCATAACGCTAAAATTCAGCCTATTTTTGACACCTTGACCTTTGTATTAAAGATGCTCTTTTGTACTTAAAATGTTTGTCCCTGGACACCTTTTATGATGAAAGTCAGAAAGTTCAAATGAAACAAGTCTATCACAGATTTTTCAGCCCATAATGTAGACAAACCTACTGATCTAAGGACGAAGAAACATAGAACAAAGTCTTTTTTTATGGAGCTTATTTGCTACATTTGTTCTGTTTCCTCCCCTCCTACATGTAGACTGAAACAACAAATTGATAAAAACAAACAAAACAAAAACAAAACAAAAACAAAAAAACAAAAAACAAAAAAACACACGCACAGTTATCACTGAGCGTATCTTGTTTCTGCGGTTGCACAGGTCGATAAATAAGTAAATAAATAAATAAATAAAAATGTTTAACACCTATTTCTATTTCATAACTAATTTATTTATGAGATTCACACCAAGCTGAAGCATGTGTTAGATGACACCAGAAAAGTCATGAAAGATTGCTGTATTATTCTACTGGAAAAAAAAAAACAACAACAGCAACAACTTGCCATCCTTCCTTTGCTCTTAAGAAAAGTAGGAAGTTACAAAATGTATTCCTGAACCAGATAACTGAGTAACATTCTTTTTTGTCTCCATACACTAACTACAGTATTCTTTCCTCAGGAAAACAGGAAAGCATCCCACAGGATAGTAACAAGGAACTCATCTCTGGCAACAATCCCCAACAGCAAAATACTCAGATATCATTTTATCCTGAAATGATGCCAATTGGGTTTGTTCAGTCTTGCTTCAAAGAAAAGAATGGAATTCCTAGACAGCCCAGTGTTTGCCCAGCGGCTAAGGCTAAGCTTTGTGTTTCAGTCAGAGGATTTACCAACCCTGGACACTGCTTAGATGGATTGGAGAATTTTTCTCATGTTTGGTAAGGTTGAAACAAATCTACCATTTACTTGTTAATTTATGCTTCTGATTACCTTTAGAGTGGTTTTCAATTTAGTGTCAAAAGTAATCAGGCAATTACTTTGGTTTTGATTTTACTCTTACTACGTTCTGAGATTGGCTGAGTAGTCTAAATGGTGAGTAATTGGTTTGGGTTTGGTTTTATGACACTCAGTTGAAAACCACTCTAATCAATCAATCAATCAATCAATCAGTTGATCGATTGATTGATCAATCAATCAGTCAGTCAGTCAATCAGCCAATCAATTAATCATTTGATTAATCTATCAATCAACCGATCAATCAATTACTGCCTGTTTATATTGAAAATTTTATTTTCAATTTTCTCATGTGTCTGTTGGTTGAAACAAATCTGCCATTTACGAGTACAATACATTCTTTGTACATTGTACTCTTTAGTTCGATGGTGGTGTGATGGTGCTGTAAGTTAATCACATGTAGAAGGAGCTGAAGAAGGTGGCTTATAAGCATATATGACAATGTATGGAGATGTACATGATATAGATATTTTTTGTTAGCAGGAAGATGGGGTGCTTGTAACTAGAATTGTACAGTGTTGTTGTTTGCGTTGTGTAGTTATTAATCATAAACCAAGCTGGGCCTTTGTTATTATAACAAAGGCCCAGTTTGGTTTATTATAACAAAGGCCTGGCTCAGTTTTTTTTTTAACAGTTTGTTTAACTGGAGTTCAGCGTCGGACTGATGGGCCCCTTGGCTCGTATGTAGACTCCACAGTATTTTTAAAAATGGACCCTTCAGTAACTACATGTATATTTGTCTTAATGAAGTGTACTACTCAGTGTCTTGTAAATTTCCTAACACTGCCTTCCTCTCTGATAGGATTGTGTTTCTGTTTCACAAGAACACCAACAAGGCTGTCAAAGCTAAAGTTAAGCCTCCCCGTTTAGACGGTACTAAGGTTGGGGTGTTTGCCTCCCGCAGTCCTCACAGACCCAACCCTATTGGCCTTACATTGGCAAAGCTTGATGGCATTGTTGGTAACACACTGTTACTGTCCGCTATCGATCTCTTAGACGGCACACCTGTGCTTGATATCAAACCATATGTTCCAGACTATGATAAACCCCCAAACTTAGTTGAAGATAAATTGGAGCTGGAAAGCAGTGGTAAAACATTGTCGCAAAACAGCGATATTTCTCGAAGTCAGGAAACTGCACCAGTCTCGCCAGGTTCACAGCTGATTGATCAAAGCTGCACGGTACCAATGCAGCAAATTCTGGATTTGCAATCTGAACCAACTACATGCGCTCTAAGTATTGCAGAATGGATAAGAAAGCCTCCTATCAATGAGTTGGATGTCAAATTTTCTGATGCGGCTATAGAACAAATCGGTTGTTTCCATGGGAAAAGGCACCCCCTTCTAAAAGAATTGCACAGGAAAAGTGTTGATTTGTCAGTTCATAGACGTACTTGTCTACAGAAGCTTAAGCTTGGGTCAGAGACCTTCGCTGGTGAGGAGCCTGGATCGTGTGAGCTAGGGAACAATCAAATCGTAGGGAACCCTTGGATAAAGCCTTGTGATGCTGGTACATGTAGACCTGTCAATACAGTTGCCGACTCTTATGGCTCTTGTTCAAAAACGTCTTTAAATGAGAAAACAAATGAATCAATTGACGATGCGAATGGTTCGCAAGACGAGCTCTCACTCAAAGGAAAAAGTGCTATTGTGAGCGAAGAAGTTGGCGGAGACTTGAAAGAAAGCATTCCCCAACCTGTAACTGACAGTGAACTTCTGCCGCCGTCCGATGTGTGTATTTATCAACTAGAAATGCTTTCATCCCCAGAGGAGGCGAAGCAAGCTATTACCGATATTCTAAGGGCAGACCCTAGATCGGTTTACAGACGAAACTGTTGTCAAGATAAATTGTATTCCTTTAGCATAGACACGATGAATGTGACTTGCAATTTTGAAGAATCGACGGTTGAAGTTTTACGAGTAGAGCCCGTGTTTTACAGGAAGCTGAAATGAAACACATGATTGACCAGGTTGAATTATGATTCCACCGACAAAATTCAATGTTAAGTTTATGTTTGAAACTTGCACTAACAATCAGAATTATGTCGGTGAAAGGTTTCAAATTTCCTACTTCCTTCAAATTTTCGGGTAAATGTTGGGAAAAAAGAAAAGTTGCAATCGAATTATATGTCGATATATGCTGCCTTGAGTCACATCAAGTCCCTCCTAACTGGTATGGTGACTGAAATACAATAATTATTAACTCGTATACATAATGACTAAAGCGTATTACAGTTCATAATATAAACCGTTGTATGTTGTACACTTTTGCAAAGGTGAAGTTGTTAAATATAACTCGTGTAATCTTCTTTTTCTGATTATTTTCTCCGGCATACTTAAGATATTGACCTCGACACGCATTAGCAGCAGGTAATGTAAGTTCTGTCACGTGACAGCGACGTAATTAGAACATTAGATCGAAATCGCACACCTGCCCTCGATTAAATAACTCAAAAACTCATCTTTAACCCAGCTTACAACTTACATATGTACATATCAAATGTTCTGCCGGCTGCGATAAGCACAGGTCGATATCTTTGCATTGACCATTCCCTAAAATTCTCTGTCGTNTTTATGTTTGAAACTTGCACTAACAATCAGAATTATGTCGGTGAAAGGTTTCAAATTTCCTACTTCCTTCAAATTTTCGGGTAAATGTTGGGAAAAAAGAAAAGTTGCAATCGAATTATATGTCGATATATGCTGCCTTGAGTCACATCAAGTCCCTCCTAACTGGTATGGTGACTGAAATACAATAATTATTAACTCGTATACATAAAGACTAAAGCGTATTACAGTTCAAAATATGAACCGTTGTATGTTGTGCACTTTTGCAAAGGTAAAGTAGTTAAATATAACTCATGTAATGTTCGTTTTCTGATTATTCTCTCCGGCATACTTAAGATATTGACCGCGACACGCATTAGCAGCAGGTAATGTAAGTTCTGTCACGTGACAGCGACGTAATTAGAACATCAGATGGAAATCGCACACCTGCCCTTGATTAAATAATTCAAAAACTCATCTCTAACCCAGCTTACAACTTACATATGTACATATCAAATGTTCTGCCGGCTGCGATAAGCACAGGTCGATATCTTTGCATTGACCATTCCCTAAAATTCTCTGTCGTTATAACACTAACTGCCACACGGACATTGTAACCGTTGAAGAGATTGTCGTAAAGGTGGTTGCAACGAAAAAATTGCTTTCACAATGAATCATCGAATATCGCCTCAAGATGATTTGATTCTTCAAACAAGCCTTTCTGTGGCGGATGATGCATATTCACTTGGTAGCACGTTCACTCTGCAAGACCGAGTGGAAGCAATTGAACAGTCTAGCGAAGAATTTTACCAAATCGTAAGTAAAAGATCGGCGCTGTACGAAGGGAAAAATGTTCCCACGCAACAGAAGAGAACAGGGTGTCGGTCGCATTTTTCTTGCTCAAACGTTCATAAGATTTTTTGATTGATAACCACCCACAGTAATTAATATAAATTGATGAAAAATGATGTCCTCTGTTATCATGAACCCACGAAGAAATTGATTTTCANGTGTGGCAAGTGTCTCTTTATAGCTTAAAATTTTTCGTCGGTTTAATAAGGAAAGTTCTGTCGGAAAAATGACTAAAAGCTGCACATTTGGTACAGGTAACTCAGATACCTAGAGTTTAGGGTAGGACCATTATATTCTGAGGAGGGGGGAGGGGGTGATTGGGCAATTTTCTGGGGCATGAATTTTTTTTTCTCACCCTTAGGTTGTGCAAAAATGTTTTTAAGTCAAACACAGGACATGGATAGTAGAAAGCACTTACTCGATTTTTTTCCCATGGCTCTCATTGGGTTTTGCACCTCGCTGGAGGAATTTAAAAACGCAACAATCACCGGTCATCAGGGAAATCACATGATTATCGTGACGCCGTCCTTTTTAAAATTTCTCCGGTTTGAAGAACGTTTTAGAAAAGCTCCGTTTTCGTGGTGGATTAATGTGGACGGTAGGCCTTAGCGTAGAACAAAAACTGCGTTTTCAAATTTTGCGGTGTAGCGTGGACGCTGCCTGAATGAAGCAGAAAAGCAGCAAAAAGTTCACTGGAAGATTAAAAAACTAATAAATTATTGTTTCAGTTCACTTAGTTGAAACAGATTTTAGTATAAAAATAAGCTTATCCTTCCAGCTAAGTTTGTTACCTTACATTTAGTTCTTGTCCTTTTATACTTCCGTGAACTTCAGTGAACTCGATCGTTTCTGAGCAGCGCAATCTGTTGTTGTGATGATGACAGCCACGTAAACAAGTAAACTCTTGCTTCATTTGACTTGAACAAGGCGTATAATTTTTAGCAACGCCACAACTTCGGAGATTCCCTTTAACCCTCTGTCGTTTGTCGAATTTTACCAGAATTTAGACAACTTTGGAGGTGATCATGCGAAGACCATTTCGGAAGAAAACTGTTTCGCTCGCTTTCCTGACATTTTCATTCAACTCAGAATTGAGTGAATAACAACGTGCGACAAATGTTCCCGCCTTTTCTTACCATCACTTCGTTTAGACGAAACTGAAATGTCCACAACACTCTCTCATTTATCCTATCGCGGACTCATGGAATATTTGTTAACTATTTAGTTAAACAATCAAGATGGGTTGAGACCTGAACATGCAAACGTAAAATTACAATTTTTAGAACTTGGGGATATTTTAACAACTATTCCATGAGCAAAAGAGGCAAAATCGGGCTCGTATCTAACAATGACTAATGGAGTGATTGTTTTATTACATTCTGCAATCAACTAGATAATGTAGACATTTCAATGTGATCTAAATGACAAGACGGTTCGAGACTGTTGGAAATAGAGGCAAGATTTGTAACTTTGAGTTGAATGAAACGTGTGGAAAGCGAGCGAGACAACCGAGAAAGAGTTTTCTTCTGAAATGTTTCTCGTACAATCTCCTCTCAAGTGTCAGAAAATTGTTACAAGCCGAGTAAGGTTCACTGAAAGAATCGATGTTACAGCGTTGCTGCACATATTGTACGCCTTGTGCAAATCAAATGAAGCAAATATTTACACCGCTCCTGAAGTATAAAAGGACAAGACCCAAATGTAAGGTAACAAACTTTACTGAAGTGGTTTTGCTAATTTTCTGCTAATAGCTGTTTTTAGTTTCCGAAAGAAATTGTGTCGGGTTTTAGAGACTCCGGTATGAATGTGCTTGCTGCTTTTCTTCTCCATTCAGTCGCTTTTAATAAAAGCTGTTACAAGCCATTTAAAAACATTTTCAAATAAGCTCATTTGTTTGATTTCGCATCAAAATCATTGAGAAAATTTGTGGCTTTTTGTTTCCAGGATGGCATTTTCCATCAGCCTAGTATTTACGCGGTAGAAAGCTCACAGAGTCTGCTGTTTTTAGCCACTTTTTTTTCAGGGAAACTTTCACCTCCCGCCGACAAATTTGTAAGCTAAGTGATACTTGCAACACTCATTTTCCGTATGAGGGGAAACACTGGGTATGGCTGATAAAAATGATTCAGTGAACTAATCAGAAAGCTAGAAATGCACTTTCCGAGGTTGAGAATTTAATAACATCAGATATTCTCCAGTCTTGTGACGTATTTTAGACCAATTGCGCTCGAGAACTAAAAGATTTCATTGATGAATTGACAATAAAATGGGTAACAATTATAACTGGCCATGTCAAAGCAAATTCTGTACGTATAAAATGAATTTTTAGCTTCACAACTTAGTGTTTTTTAATTTTTTTCAACTCCCTTATTGCTCGGATCATGTTCCTTCAGTTACTAGCATACAAAAGAAAGTTAAGTGTACGCGGTACTGTAATTTCTCGATCGTCCAGCATTTCTTTGATTGCTGTAACATATCTCTAGAATTAGAAACTTGTTCAGGGCGACACAGCAAAGAGCAGCTACGCTAAGCTTGGTGAAAATGACCGAAGAGTTTAAAATGCAGGTTAGATAACTGAATAATTGCTTAATTTATCTCCGAAATAGGAAAAATAACTGTTATGATTTCGGTTTGGTAGCAGTCGTTAACATGAATGAATGAACGAACGAACGAACGAACGCAAACGAATGAATTAACTTTATTGACGTGTGTAAAACCAACTTGCAGAGGGAGAACCCTGTGCTAACAGGGGACACTTAACTAAGATTTAATGACCCATCGTCCTCGCAAAAATACACTGGGACCTTAAAAATTAACTTCTTTTGTCGTTAAACACCTTTGATGGTGAAAGACATGTACATATCTGTTATTGAAAANTTTGTTGATGTTTTGTATTCCTCACAGGAAATTTTAAATCACGTTGTGATTAAGATGCTGACAAAAAGAAAGTGGGAAAAATATGCTTCGTTCTGGTTCAGGTAAGACTGAATCTCAATTTCCTTTTTAGCTACTCTCTTAAAAACTTTTACATGTTGACATTCGATAAATAAAAGTCTGCAAGGACCACTCTCGACAAATCTCGAGAAATCGCATACATGTATGGTTAGCTATTTATAGAGAAAAATTTTATCAAGATTTAATCACTCTAGCTGTGGCTCTGCAGTAAACTAAATTATTAGTCTAGATATCGTCCATTGATTCAGTCTGCTCTAGTCTATTTAATTTTTGTTTTCCTAGACGAGTGTATTTTTGCTTTGCAAATTGTAAATTGTTTTAAACAAATCTTGAGCAGTTTGTTATGTGTTTGTGAAATATTCAAAAAAAGAAAATCCTAGATCTTTACCGTTTCTCAGCAACTTAACACACGTGATATATTTCGTATATCCATTATCGCACATCTATTCCAGTTTCCAATAAGTGATTTTCCTACTCTCCATTACTTTTGCTATGGCGGAAAATCATCCAAAAATTGCTTTATGTCGTATTCATTTGAAAAATTCCCCGGAATTGGCTTTCATTGCCAGCTAGTTCAATTTCAAACCGAGAATACGAGACATGAAAGATCCATTGACCAGCTTCTATAGTGACTTAATTTCTGTCCTGGTTTGAAATCCTATCAAAAAGTGACTTTTTTCTATTTACGGGCTTTCTATCCAAGCCTGGAAAACCTTGTCAGCTAGATATGAGCTCCAGATATTTGCAATTAAATTATTTATTAATTGACTGGCAGGTTTCGCGCATGGAATTACACGATATTCCTGACAGCTCTCAGTACCGATTTCATGATGGCTGCGAATTCTGTGGATCCAGTGCGTTTTGGGAAAACACGTTTCTTTCAGTTCCTTGAAGTCTGGGTTATCTCCATGACTTTGTGGTTTATAATTGACGAAATCTCTGAGCTCAGAAGGTACAGTCTTTGCTAAATAGGGTAAGAACTAAAAAAGCGCTGAAAGTTATGTTAAGTATTAAAAAAATGCCGATTTGGATATGATGTGTATGTCTGATATGATGATCAGTCACGTTATTTTGAAATAATATGGCAACGTATAAAATTATTTTTAAATTGAAGGAACCTGAAAATAATAGTTTAATAAGGTATAACATCACTTAGGAGATAGTAACAAACCATAAAGAAACAAGGATGGTCAAGGATGAAGAAGATTGACACGGATTACAAACAACGAACTTGAAAATTTTAGACTTAACTCTTCAAGATGCCCAAACCGTAACATAGCGCCTTTAAGAGTATTTCAAAACATGGATACGATCTTTAACTGTCTCGTACCTTTAAAGGATAAAGATGAATTTGTGCTATGGCCACTTTACGAGACGACGAGATAATGTTAATATGCCAGTTCTTAGCTAAGAATCTCAGCTTTTTTATCTTATACTTACTTTTCTTAAATTTTCAGAGAACCAGTCGCCTACATCAAAGATGCCTTCAACTATTTCGATCTGTCAGGATACTCTCTCATTCTGGCGACCTTCCTCTTTAGATTTCTTGGAAGTGATCTCCAGTGGACTTGCGCTTCTTTGGCAATCGGCATTAATTATATCGGTATTTTTAAGTACTCAGGTGCAAACCAGTAAGTAGAAGATTTATGAGTCAATGACTTTGATGTTTATTATCGCAGTTGACTTCATCCTGCTGATACATTGTTTATATATCGTGCAACATATTGTGGTGGAGCGATCTCGATCAGTGCTTATTAGAGCTTGTTGTCTGCTATGGTTCCTCGATTCAGTCTCTTATTATTAAAAACTGGATAATTGGATAATGCAATTCGAGAGTTTTCATTGGCTTAGCCATCATGGGGTATCAGCCTTTACACCATGTTCTACAAATAAAGCAAGCGTACGCTTGAATTGAGGCCTTTTTAAATTTTATTTTAGCGTAGTTTTCTAACTTTTTTTTGGGNGTTTTTAATAAGACAATTATTCCACTCGGGCTTGTTGCATATGAGCTGATTATAGCCAACTCGGCACCACGCGCCTTGTTGGCTATCTATCTCATATCCAACGCGCGCTCGTGGAATAATTGTTAATTATATCTCTCAGTTACTACACGCGCTGTAATTGATCAATTTAGTGGACCGTATTCTACTGCATGGCCTGCTAAAATTTAAAGCTGTTTTTGTTGCCAAAATGTTTCGTGATTTTCTCCAAGTCTTCATAACTTTTATAGCAAGTAAAAATTTGAAACTTTCTTTTACTTTATAGTGTGTATTAAAACGTGCTAACGACTTAACAACGATTTCAAATTGACTCGTTTTGCTTTCGACGTGCGCCAGAAAGTTGAAGCCGTTCTGCGTGGATAGAAATCGAAAAAAAAACCCGCCAGACACACAGTAGAGATATAACCCTCGTTTTTTTCTCCTTCAATTTATGGCCCGTGCGCTTCGCTCTTGGGCCATAAATGGAATGGGGAAAAGCTCGGTTTGTAACTTAAAGTACGGACCTCAAACTCGGTTAGTAAGAGGTATGTAAGATCGTATACTTGATTTATTTACAGAAATACTGGACTGTACATAAAATGCCTTGGCAAGGTCATCTACAAGGACATTCCGAGATTTCTGACGGTGTTTAGTATTATTCTGGTGACATTTTCAGTTTCATTCTTCTTGGCTATCAGAGCGGACAAATCCAGGTTGGAAGAGAAAGCACTGAAAAACAAGTAGGTACAAAATATGCCTGTCTATAACAAGCTATTTTAACTGGGCTTGACTGATTTAATCTCATTCTCACTGTTTGCTTAATGATACAGAATTATCAGTCTCTATAACAAGAGGAAAATTAGAGAGACGCTTTCTGGGGAGAGGTATTGATAGTTATTCAATACAACGGCAAACAATACAAATCGTTAGTCACTCCTCTAGGGTCCTCAACGGGTTTTTAAGGAAAAGGTAAATTTATTATGGAAAAAGGCAAAAAGAAACTAAATTATTCACACATACGATCGGTCAATTATAAATAAGGAATCGAGAAATTACGGAAAAGGCAACGGTTTTGGAAGTATAGAAAAGGGTCAGAGAAAGGTTCGAAAAACTTTCATTTAGGTTCACATAAGGCCTTTTCAGGATGTTTCGAACACATGCAGACAGACTTAATCAACGTAATTCATCCAAGTATTTTAAAGTGCTGGTCAATATATATGGGTTATTGACCAAGCTTGTTCGGTCAAGATGGCTGGATATTGGCCAAGTTCTTTTTTTGCGTGTTTATGGACCGAGACGGAGTCGAGNAGATAGCTCCATCTTGCCCGCTCGGGTAGCCAATCACAGCGCAGGATTTGATTCATCTTGCCCGCTCACGGAGCTAGCCATATAATAAAAAGGTATAGAAAAGGATTATATAGCCATCATATTCAGAATCCCAATTCAGGCCCTCTCTGGGGGGATTAACCTTTTATTGAATTTTCCTTTTCTTGTTATCTTATTGTAGCGCTCTCAGAAATGAAATGTCGTGTACGACCAGCGTAGGATGTGTAATGTTATCTGGTGTAATGACCTGGCTCGAAGGATCGTCCGTAGTTCGTAATCTGCGAGAAGTTGGGTTAGTTCATTGAATGACTAGACTGATAAAGATTTACTTCTCAAAATTTGTGGTATATTCGATGAGTTCATAAAAGGAGAACAAAAGAGACGAAATCACTTAATTAAGGACGTTCGCGCGAAAATTTTCCAACATTGATATTTTTCTGAGACTTTTACGTCTGTAAGATGATGAGTTAGTTATGTCAGAAATGTAAAAAAAATGGGGGGTCGCCGACTTCGTTTTGGAGAGAACATACCCGGAAGAACACCCTCAATCTGAAAAAATCGGGTTCGTTGGCGAATAAGGCCACAGTGTCTGTGAGCCCAAAAATATTGCGATTAGATCTTTGAAGTGAAATTTTCTCTGCCAAATATTGTTTAAGTAGACCTATTAAGTGAATATAGTCAACTGGTGAGGTTCCTTAAAGAAAAAGTTCGTATTTAGCTACCATAGTTTCACGCGCCTTGCAGCCGCAAGATGGCAGGATTCGACATCCCGTGGACAGAAATCTTGAAATTTTTTTAACTTCCCACATTGATTTTTTGTTCATTTTTGGACAATGTGGAGATAAATGTAAATAAAATCTGTTTCTGGAAAGAAAAGTAGGGGTCACCGAACGTCCAAGATCGTTAAATCCAGGCAAAGCTATAGCAATGGCCATTAGCCCTATCATTTTATTACTTGGCGTGTGAATTTGCGTGCGCAGTAAGGATGCGCAGAAACAATTAGCGCGAACGTCCTTAAGTCCAATGGTACAGTTGTTTAATATTTATATAACGGCCATCTAGTATGAAATAAAGTTTAAGTCAGTGTACAGTTGCAATTGGAAACCGTGGTGAATAGGCGCAAGGAGAATCAACCAGAAACGAGGACTGTGTTGTTGATACTGCTGCACCTGTTTACTTACACAGTCACAATCGGCGCAATTGCTTCTACGGCGTCCAATGACCAAGTCTCCTCGCGAGGATCAGGTAGAGACAGGGAACGGGGAAGAAGAAAGAGTGAGATAGAGAGCTCTCGTGCTCTCCCTATGGCCCCTCTTTTCCGTTCCACTCATTTTATGCCCGAGAAGAACAAGCAAACTTTACATGCTCTTTTTATTTCCATGTCCAGATGGCTAGGGGTACTACTGACATTGCTATTCATGATGAGTGTGACGACTATTCTGTTGAACATCCTGATTGCACAACTTTCGCTGACGTACGAACTGGTCCAAGAAGAGTCACTGAATTCTTTCACTGCGCTAAGAATGCAGGCCGTGGCTATCATTGAGTGGCAGAGCAGGTTTAAATTTTGGGTGGGTACAAAGACTGATGATGTGAAAATAAAGTTGTAAAGTAAAATAGCACAAATCAGGGGGAGATTAACTCCATTTTAAGTTGAAAAAGTCCTTTTCTTGTCACTTAGAACTAAGCATTTCTACGATTGGCATTTATTTCTCTTGCAACTGCTGGTGATAACATATACCTACAGTTTTGGTGTATGGTGAAGCTTCGACGAATGCGAAGTGTGTATGGCGGATCTCCGATGATTTCCGAGCCCGCGTGCGCGGGTACCCTGAGTGGAAGAATCATTAACCTTGTCAACTAAAGCATTCCGATTCAACATAATTAACGCCACTTTAATTAATTTCGTTCCAGAATCTTCGAAAGAAGTATTATGTTCCTGGGGAATTAAAGACCAAAGAAGAAATTGAAGGTATTTAACAAAAGACATCTGCAATTTAGCCTTAATTAATAGCCATCGAGGTATTTTCATGTAGACTGAGGGCCCGGATTCTGACTAAGAAGTGTGTAGTGCGTATAATTCTAAATGTGGCAAGGCAAAAGATTTCTTAAGACCTGCCCTTACTTCCATTGGTACAACACGCCTAATATCGATTAAATTATGTTCTTTGGAAGATAACATATCCCGTCTAGTGTGCCGTGACTTCCTCTTCTCTAACACCGTTTAGACTGATCTACAGTAGGTCACAGTCATAGGCAAATGGCCTCACAGCTAACGCCTGATTTCTTGTCACTGTTAATGATGAGAATATTCTGATCGAACCACGTGGAATGATAGCAGGCTCAGTCCAAGGTCATTATAAACTGTTGTACTGTGGGGGTAAGGGGAGGGGGAGTGGTCAGAGAAATATCCCATGGTTCCATCAGTATATGGTCTGAAGTGAGACATCTTGGGTCTGAACAAAAACGTCCAAATCATAATCTTTCAAAAAATAAAATTTATTTAGGGGCATCCAATTTAGCATTGGATCCCTGATCACATACATTTGACAAAACTTCAGATAAAATAAAAAGACTAGATATAATATTATTTTTAAAGTAACATATATAGGTTATTTTTTAAGATGGCGTTTGAGCTTTTCAAAATCTTAAATTCATCAAGATTCTCAATTTGCTTGATGCTTCGAGGCACAGCATTGTGTATAATGAAGTTGTTAAACAATACAGCCCCGAAGGGAGCCCTTGTGGGACACTCACTTCACTGTCTCTGAACTCGCGCATTTACCGCTGTTTGCGGTCCAGAACATATGAGAACATCAAACCGTGCGCATGCGTTCCAGTTGGCCATACCAGGAGGAGTCTGTGATAGATAGAGTCAAAATATTGGCTAAGATCCTTTGAAACTTCGATGACAGCTCCTCTGTTATCCAGACTTCTCCACGTGTCTTAAGTCTTTTTCTAGCAGCGCGCTGTTTTAGATAGGAAAGATAGTCATAAATGGTGCAGTACATTTGATCCCCCCTGAACAAAATTTTCTCATAAACCCCAGATAAAGCTGTCAGAATCGATACAGAACGATGCTGAGTTCTCTTTGTGCGTGTCCTCTCGTTTCTCCAAAGCTAATGTTAAATTACTACCGTGATATTTTCACTCTAATGGCCATGGCCAGGCATGATTCATAGAAAAGAAAAAACTGAACGAAGCGAGAGAGGCGATATGCTATCCACCGTTACAGTTTTCCTTGGATTTAGCTGACAGGTTCAAAGTTAAAGTTGTCTTGTTTTTCTCTTTCCGCCACCATTTTAACACTGGGGTGGTCAGCAAAATCCTCCTGTCTTGAAGAGCCATCCATCTGACAAAAACTCTGGTCACCCACACCAGTCTTTTGATAACTCTAACACGTAGCGAGTTAGCTAGAAGTGAAATGCCCGAGAGAGAACGTATTGACCAATTTATTCAAAGAAAGCATATTTATATTCAGAGATGATGAAAGAGTACAGAGAGAGTGCGAATCTGGTGCCACCCATGCCCGAAGAGATATGCGGGCAGATTCAAGACCGATTCAGTGCCATGAAGACAAACTCCAAACAACTGCGGTAGAGTATTCTAAGTTTAATGCCACAGTCACGACTTTTTGTAAAACGAAAAGTACTGAACAGTTT